TTTGCATTTACTGCAACTATTTCAAGTAACTTTAATTTAGGAGAGACTCGTTATTATATTCATTCTTGAAATAAAGCTACTTGCTTTATTTCTTTAAGCTACTTGAAGACAAAGATTATGCTATTCATCAATCAATACAGAGATTAAATAAATACTGTTATCTACTGGGTGAATGATTAAAAATCTAAAGATCTTCTGTTTGTAAGTTATTCAAAAATTAAAGGACTACATTAATGATTAATCAGATCTCCCTTATTAAATTCCAGGATGATAGAAAAAATAGTGCTCTATAGGTATTAGAATCATTACATTTTCATACTTCTTCAAAATCATTCATATTCTGATTTCTTTACCTGTATCTATTATCAATAAAAGCTTCCTAGCTATAAATCATTTATTTCATGTATCAGTATAATACACCAGTTATTTCCTTCTTTTGTAGTATGTTTTATAGTTCCATTCTTCCTGAAAACAGAAAGTGCTGAAATGTAGTTATCTATGTGTAAAAAAGGTAAAATACAAATCAGGGAATTGTTAGGAAAAGGGATAGTCAATCAGTATTACTGAAAGTCACTACAGTTTTAAAAAGCACTGAAATACCTTCAAAATTGGTTCTAAACAATTTGATTACTGTACAATCTGTATATTTTGAACAGTATTTTAAAATGCTAATACAGACCAGAACAACATTTGAAATATAGCCAAAATGTTTGCAGATATATTTATGGTTTTATTATTTGCACCTAGGCAAAAAGAGTGCTTCTAAAAACATTGTGCTTCTCTAATAATGAATTTTTTAAGATTAAAAAAGCATTATGTATATCTAAATTGTAACAATAAAATCAATTTTTTTAAAAGTAAAAAATGGATCATCAACCAATAGAAACAGATACATTCATTAAGATCTTATTGTTAGAATTAGGAACCAGCATTATGTGTATAATGAAAAAATGTTAATTACATATAGTAATTATTAAATGGGTTTAAAGCACTTACTTCTATTTCTCATTTGATCCTCTTAACTTTACTCTTCATAAAAACAGAAAAGAAATTATCATCCCATTTTATAGATGATAAAATTATAGGTCAAAATTGTATGAAGTTATGAAAAGAAGAAATCATGAATGACATTAGTTGTTATGACAGCTGGGATTCCAGGGTGTCAAATTTTAAAAACAAGCAGAAAAGCAGCTGGGGGTAAAATCATAATAGCTGATACAACACATAACCTGCAACATAAAATAAAAGCAACCTAGTTTAAAACGATAATGCATGTTGGTATAGGCAACCGAGTATTTAGATCCAGTGAAATCCTTAGACAAAGGGGATATACATCAGAACCACCAAGGTAGTTTTTCCAAATCCAAAACTGGGCGGGCATTAAGAATCCAAGTAATGGAATTTTCAGATGAATATTCAACTGATAAATGTAGCACAAAGTAAATAAAAAATGTAAAGTATTTTGGAAACAGATTCCACTGCCATGGGGGTGGGAGAAAATCAAGTCTTAAAAACTTTTCATGGGCTAGGATGAAAAAGGAGAGAAATATTTAAAATCTGTCCTAGATTATATAGGCAGTCAAATAAAAAATACATGTCAGGGTCAAATATCCTTTACGATTACCAGACTTAGAAATAAAATTACAGGAGGCCCAGTTAAATATGAATTTCAAATAAACTTTTTCTTTTTAAGTGCAAGATAGCCTATGACTATCTGGGTCACGTGCCTACAAATGCAATCATGTGCAAAGAAGACAGATGAGAGAAAGGTGGAACAAAAGAAATTTCTAAGTCCCATATTTGAGAAAAATACTAAATATGCTGCAAACGTTCTAATTTATGATTTATTATCTGACTCTCCTCTAGTCATTTCATCCACTCAGTCTATTATGTATCATTTTAATTTTTCACACCACTGTTAACTTTTTCATGTCTGACATTTCTGAAATTACATTTGTGTATGTGTTGAGTCTTATACTAAAAAAAAGAAGTTATCTCTTTGGTTATCCATTCTTAACTTCCAGCTCTATTATTAGACATCTATACTTATATCCATTTTCCCCCTTTCTTTTTTTTTCTTTCCCCTTTCTTAAGAGAAAAAAATTGATTCTCTTTAAATTCACACAACAAAGAGCTGGTAAGCAGTGTGATTTATAAAACAATTTCTTCATGTACTTTCCATTAAGTGACACAGCAAAATAATACTTTAAAAAGTGAATAAAAATAAATTTAAAAAATTTTTTAGTACCGGGGATCGAAAAATAAATTTTAAAACACATTTCATCTAAGACTACTATTAATAACCACAGCTATGTGCCATATAAGGACATTTTGTTCTTTTTACTAAATGAGAAATTTTAAGTTCAGACATAAAACACCTTAATGTTAAATAGGATAGAACCATAAATTATACAAAAGTAACAACTATCTAACTATGCATAACTTCAAGAGGCTTGGGAATATTTTCATCATTATGCCTATCTAGAATCAAGATGTAGCATTTTCTTTAAAGGCAATGAAAAACTTTAATAGCTGAGCTGTGAAAATCCTACATAATCTGCTAATTTACCTGAACAAAATCTAGAATCACTATACGAAGTCCCTATTCCCATGGCGCTAATATAATTTTGCTTATGAGATGATGATTTGTGTTCCTTTTACCTTATAGGCATTACTTATTCAGCTACACATACCTATTTACATATGACATCCGGTGAAAAATGAAAGTCTTAAATGCTTAGTAATCAATAAAAAGTTTTTGAAGTTTTAATACTACCTTGCTACAAACAATATAAACTAAAAAATGATAAACTAAGCAATTTTTTTTGTCAGTTAATGTTTCAAAACAGGGTGGGAATTTACAATTTCATCAGTGAATCTCTCTCTCTAGTATAAGATCTTTATAACTGATTATACTTAGATTCACTTTTTGGGGGGCCTACCGGTTTTAAATAACTAAATTACAATTTAAATAACATGCTATATTTTAAATAACCCCATTTAATGTAACATGAGAAAAAAATAATAATCGCCCTGCAACTTCCAGACCTTTAAAAACTTTCCGTTTATTTTTCCCCTTCATTTAGGGGAATCAGTACTCTTTTTTTTTGGTACCGGGGATCGAACTCTGGTCCTTGCACTTGGGAGGCAGGCGGCGGGGAATCAGTACTCTTAACAGCACAAAACACAATGTCACTAAACAAGTTTAGATTGTATTACATTTTTAATCATGTAGGTCTTTACAGTACTCTAGAAATAATTTTTTCTCTTGAAAAAATTTTAAGTATTACATTCATGTAATTACACTTATTAATAACGACTAAACATCCAAGGGCAGAGCTTGTTTTACTTATAACGTTCTCCATTCTTCACTACTTTCATACAAAATATTTCTAATAAACAATAACCAAATAAGTAACCTTCATACTTTTAACCTAAACGTGCGCTGAATTTATGAATTTACAAGACTATGTGAAAGTCGGGGGTCATGTAGATGCGTAAAGGGAAAGTTAAAATATTTTAAACTACATTTGCTTTTTCACATGAAAACCACAGACAAACTGAAATCAAATGTCATGAGAAACACCCCAATTTCCTTTTCAGCCTACATCGGTACCTACGGCATTGTTCTGCTCAACTCTTTAAAGAGGGTTTTTTCTATGCCTTCTGCTTCCTCTTCTCTATTAAACATCAACCTACTACTGATGGGCACTGTGGAGGCAGTCGGGAGGCTGTGGGTCAAGCATAAACAAGCCCCCTCTTCAGCCTCTTAGTACAAGCATAATGTATACTTAGACCTCCCTTCCTTCGTTCAAGCTGCTCCCTCAGTCTGGAAAACGCTCCCCAACCACCTTGCCAGTCAGTTTGATTCGCCCGCCATAGGTTACGGGCAGCCCTCGCCAGGCGGTCTACAAGAGACTCCTCTCTTGCTCTGTAAACCTGTTTCTCCGCAAACCAAGAGATCAAGTATTTAGCAACAGAAAATAAGTATCTGCGCTAAGTGATAAAGTTGTTTTCATTCCTACTCATTATTTTAAAACACAGATGGTCTAAAAATCTTCTTTCCCCCTTGTTGCTAACAAGAAAATTCGACGTCTTCGGTAAACTAGAAAAGCACGCGCTTTAGTTTACATTAAAAATTATCCACTTAACACCTGTTAAAATACCACCGAGGTCTTCTACAGTTGAGTCATATTTTGTACAACTGTCAGCACAAAAGCGATCACCTACAGGCCCTGGATGAAATTAAAAGTTTTAAAAGGACAGAGTAAGTCCCAGGCCGGGAGGTTCCTAATTCTTGTCCTAAAATATAAAACCACCGATCCTATACAACTCAGTCTGTAAGTACGAGAACTCTTCGTTCTCCTTTATTTAGATCATTACTCCACTAATACTAAAAAGCAAGTTGCTGGGAATTTCTACAGTTCAGCTCTTATAATGGAATCGGATTACAGAGCGCGGCTTTGATTTCGCACGCAAATCCTGACGCAGGTAACTTTTCAAAAGGCCGACGATTTGCCAATGAGGTGATTTTAAAGCCAGAATGCGCCGCATCCCGAAGTGAACACCGAAACTCAGAGCACATCAGCCCCCTCCCCGGTCCGCCCGGCCCGCGCCCGGCGCCCGCGGGACACTCACCCGAGGCCATGGCTGCTCTTCGCGCCGCCCAGCCCGCAGCTCCCAGCGTCGGGCGCGAGGCCGCCGTCAGTCAGCCGTCTGTCAGGAGGCCGAGGGACCTCTGCGGGCAGGAACCCCTGTCCCCCTGATCACCCCCGGAACCTCCTCCTCCTCCTCCTCTTGCCCTTCTCTGGCTTTGCAGCTCGCACCTTCCCACCCTCTGAATTCTTGCGTTTCAGGTCACCAGTATCACCCCTCCAGGTTGCAGGAGCCAGCTGCAGGGACAGGGCGGAGCGAGAGCCCAGCGCCCGCCCGGCGGAGAGGTTGGCAGCAAGCGGGAGGGGGATTTCCCGCGGCTGACGTAGGCTCCTCTCCACCGCCTTTGCCCGGGGGCGGGAGGCGGGGCGTTCGGCGGAAGCCGCAATGGGAGGCCCTAGCCCCGCCCCTTTCCCGCCCCCGTGCTCTCGCCTCTGTCCCCCTCCCCGCGCGTACGTCTTGGAGCTGCCGCGCAGAAAGGACGAGGTGAGAGGGGGTCGAGCTGCGGGAGCTGCGGGAGCTGCGGAAGAGGGGGCAGCCGCGAGGTGACGCTGCGAGTGAGAAGGCCGCGCGCGGACTCCTGAGAAATCCCCCTCCTCCGGTTGTTCTGCGGAGTGTGACTTAAAGTTCAGGAGTCGGTGGGCGGGTGCGGTGACGTCGAGAGGGCGGCCGCCCGGGTTTTCGATAGGTGGTTCCCCCTCTTCCCGATTTCGCACATGCAAATCTCCGCCCCCGCGCCGGCGCGCGTCGAAGCGCGGGCGTCCCGGTGCGCCCTAGAGAGGAAGTGCGGAAGCGATCAGGACCTGAGTTCGCTTGAGATTTGTGTATTTGCATACGGGGACCCCCGTAGTCTGATTTTCCCTCTTTATATCTACATTGCGAAGGCTCGGTTAAATATACGTATTTTATACACTAAAACCTTTAAAACTCTAAAGGCCTTCACTGAGAGTCCGATGCCTCGTCATTATGCGGTGTAAGTGGACACAGCTGAGACTTGACTGATGCCCACGAGGAAAGGGAGAGAGGAATGAACATTTGGTGCATTAGAGTATCCCGTATAACTATATCCTTCATTTGCCAATGCTTGTTCACTTTGTCTATGATATATAGTTATCCTCATTTATAGATAAATTAATCAGGGTTTGACGTTAAATGACTGGTCTCTACTTCAGAATGATAGCAAAAGGAAAAAGACCTTATTTGAACTTAGGGTTGTCGGGTTCCAAAGCTCTATGCTTTTTTTTTTTTTACCCCCGTTTCTTAAGTGCCCAAAATAAGTATAGTATTGGGAGTGGGGACGATGGAGAATCAGCCTACCATACAAATGCCCAAACTAGAGGAACCTCTTGAAATAATTAAAAATGAATTTGTCAGGCCCAAAATATACTCTACAAAATATACCCCCCAAAATGTAACAGTTGTATTATTAGGTCAGCATTAAAACGTACTGTGGTGCACACATCACAGGCAATTCACTAGATTCCTAAGTAAAAAGCAAAACACTTCTTCATACACCAGATACATACAACCCTATTTGGTACTCATCAATTGTCTTTATCCAAAAGAAAAATAATAGGAAGTCAAGAGCCAAGGTTTAAACTCCCACTGATTTTTTTTTTTTTTTGGTACCGGGGATCGAACTCGGGTCCTTGCTCTTGTGCAGCAGGCTGCGAAACCACTGAGCTAAATCCCCGGCCCACTCCCACTGATTTTTTAAGGGTTTATGCTGGCGGGGGGGGGGGGCGGTGTAGCTAATAAGCAGTTAGTTGAGTTTTATAAAGAATAGGACCTATTGGGCCAGGGATTTAGCCGAGTGGTTTCACCACCTGCTGCGCAAGCGCAAGGACCCGAGTTCGATCCCCAGTCCCAAAAAACAAACAACAAAAAGAACAGGACATATTTTTCCTCAAGGGTTTATAGTCTTTGATACTATTCATTTAACAAATATTTTCTTTGCCCTTGTAAATTTCGATATATATATATATATATATATATATATGCTAGCTGAATACTGTAGAAATTTGTCTTCATGATTCTGTGTCCTACATGAAAGACAAAAAGCCTGTTAGCAAATAAAACCATTTAAAATACTATTAGAATATTACTTTATTGCTACAAGGAAAAATCATGAGGGTAGAAAGTGAGGGACATGGAGGCTGTGAAGAGGTGACATTGCAGCCAAGTTGGCATCCAAAGAAAGATTCGAGGGAAAGAACATTTCCACCCAGTGGAATGGCAAGTAGCAAGTTCTTAAGATATGGAAGAGCTTATTTGATGAAATGAAGAAAGGCCAACTCAATGAGGTTAAAGAGGTAAGCAGGGGCCAGATTGTGAAGGACCTTGTAGGCCATGATACAAAAGGTAGATTTTATTTTAGTCGCACACGGGACACTAGTAGAAATTTTTAAACACATAATGTGTGAATACAATTTGAGATATATTTTGACTATTACTATATGCTAACTAGGGAAAACAGTGAAAGCGGATCAGTTAGGCTGTTGCAATAATTTAAATGAGAATTAAAGGTGGTTTGGATTTATGTTTTAGCAGAGGAGGTGGTAGAAAGAGATCAGATTTAGTGGATATTTTAGTGCCAAAAGGACTTGTTAATGAAAAAAGTGAAAAAAGATATATCCTTACCAGGGAGCAATGGTACACACCTGTAATCCCAGCACTCTGGGAGACTGAGGCAGAAGGCTTGGAAGTTTGAGCCAAGCCTGAACAACTTAGACTGTATCGAAAAATGATGGGGGGAGGGTTAAGCATGGTGACACATGCCTGTAATCCCAGCACTTGGTAGGCTGAGGCAGGAGGATTGCCATGAGTGAATTCAAAGCCAGCATGAACTATATAGCAAGGTCCTGTCCCAAAAAAACAGATTGGGGAGGGGAGGTTGGGGATGTAGCTCAGTGCAAAGGTCCTATGTTCAATCTCCAGCACCCTCCCTCCTCCCCCAAAAAAGAAAAGCTGAATTGGAGCAGGTTGAGAAGAGACTGATAGAAATGATGAATATAAATTACTTTTTGGAAGACTGTTAAAGGAAACAGAAATGGGGCAGTAGCTGGAGGAGGATGTTTATTTGTATTAGGTTAAGGGCTATCACTAAAAACTTCAATCTCAACAGGATCACACAAAGATTATTACTTGAGTCACAATCCAGTGTAAATTGTATGGCTTTCCTCCAAGAATGCCTTCCATATTATAGCACTAATATGTAGCACATTAAAGGCTACTTTTTAAAAAGAAAGAGTAAGGAATCACAAATGAGACATTTGTATGGACCAGGCCTAAAAGTGAATATATTACATACCCTGGACACAGAGGCAAAGACTGCTTTCCACAGGGTTTCCATGGCAAGCCTGAGAAATATAATTTGAGAAATGTAACTTAGCTGTGTGCCCAGAGACAAAAATGGTTATCAGTGAGCACTAGAAGTCTGGCACAGAAGTTTGGTTTTATTTCTAGAGGGTGGCATTAAGGCATATTTATATAAAGATGAGATGAACTTATAAGTAAAGGAGTTTGCTGATGAAGAAGAAGGATAAGTGCATCAGTAAAAAAGAGGTAAAATAGACTCCAGAGCGAAGGAGGTGGAATTGGTCGTACCCTGGAATGGGGATACTTCTACTGTAACAAGAAGGCAGGCAGAGCAGAGTGGTTGCAGGGAGCCTAATGGTTCGATAGTACAAAGATGAGATAATCAGGTAAGTTGCTTTCTTTCCCCCAGTGATGTATAAAGTTAAATTCACCTGACAGTAGGGGACAAAGAGGAATGGAAGGTTCAAGGAAAAAGAGAAACTGAAGGCAAGGTCTTGAGACTGCCAGATGACCGGGACAGACTCCCGGAAGCTCAAAAGATTTACCTGACTGTACTAAATCCCCGTTTGTAATTTGTGGTCATAAAGGTAATATCAGACTAATAAACACAATACTTCTGTTATGGTTTTAGTCTAGGACATCAATGGACAATACTATCCTGAAAAAGAAGATAAAGAACTAGTAAAATTTAAGAATGAGAATGTGTGGAAACAATGTATAGTATCTCTCAATTCCCACACACTCCCTGGGTAAGCGCATTCATTCACATTATTTTATCAGTTGTCTCAGAACATTTGGCCTGGATCTTCCCCAGGGCTTCAGACCCATATACCCAGTTGTCTGGCAGCCACCTCCAATGGGACACCTATAGGCATCCCAGTTGGTACTGGAGATTGAACTCAGGACCTTGTGCTTGCCAGGCAGGTGCTGTGCCACTGAGCTACATCCCCAGCCTCTTTCATTTTTTTCTGGTACCAGGAATCAAACTCAGGACCTTGCGCTTGCCAGGCAGGTACAGTGCCACTGAGCTAAACCCCCAGCCCATGGTATCCCAGACTAAACATACTCAACTTTTCTCCTAAGTTTACTCTTCCAAGTTCTCAGTCCTGATATCTATCCAGACACAGGCTAGAAACTTGGGAGCAACTTTGACTTTCTCTCTTACCATCCCTCATTTATTACAGAACATCCAATCACCATCCAATCACCATATCATGTTGATTTTACCAGTCAAATACAAATCTTCTATTTGTGCCTACATGCACTGGGGATTGAACCCAGGACCTTGAGCATGCCAAACATGGGTGCTACCACTGTGCTACACCCCCAGCCTTCTTCTACATTTTGACTGCCATTGTCCCTGATCAAATCTTCATCATACTTCATGTCAACTATTGGGATGGTCTCCTATAGTGACTATACTTTCCTCCTTTAAAATCCATTCAGATCTATTGCTGTTTGAGTCATTATGAATGCACATTGAGGCATGCCAGTCTTGTGCTTTAAAATCATCAGTTGCTCTACATAGGGAGGGGAGGGGGCTTGAGGGGGGAATGGGATAAAATAACAAAAAAAATCCAAAATAGTCCCACCTCATTTTCAAGAGGCCTTGGAGGGACATTTAGACACAAGCCATAAAAAAAAAATCATCAGTTGCTCCCATTAATCTTGAATCCAAACTCTTCCTGTGACCCACAAACTCCTCTATAATCTGGCCATTGCCTCTACCTTTAGCCTCATCTCTTTCACATTACACCTTGCACTTTATACCTTGTGAACTGCTTCATAACTCTACAAGATATTTCTTATCTCCCTGCATTTGTTTTTCTCCCTCTGCCTAGAATGCTCTTCCTCAGAGGCATACTGGTTCTCTTTGCACTCAATTCTCTTTCCTTCCTACTTTCTTTTCATATGTACCAAACAAATCTTAATGTTTTCCATGCCTAAACCTTCTTTTTTCCCTTTATCTTTCCTAGATGGTTCACCCACTGAATCTCTTACACTGCTAATTTCATGTTGGCATCTTTTTCCCAGAGAACCCAACTGGAATACTCATATCAATAGTATATAAAGATTGTCTGCAAATCAATAAGGAAAAGGTAGAAAACCAATTTTTTAAAATGAGTGAAAGACTTACCTAGGTACTTTGCAAAAGGCGATATCAGAAT